TCAAGGGTGTGAACAATACGCATAATATTTTATGAAAATGACCCCCATATTTAAAATCTGGCATTATATGTTATGCATTGTAGCACCAAGTCCACATCTACCTTTTAGAAAATTAAAACACATAAATTCTGTTTAGTGTTTGATATGTGCTGCACTAGCTGAAAGCCATAATGCCCCTAAAACCTTGGGTTGCTTTTCACCTTTCATAAATTCCTGGGTAGATTCTATACAAAAAATAATTTTCAGCTCCGTGGCTCATTGTTATTCAAACTTGATTGATCGTCGTCATTTACTCAGTGAGGAAGTTAAGTGCTCCTGTCATTTCCGAAGAGTATAATTGGGACGTTTCACAGGTCAGCGGTAGTGACAGGTTTCCCTTTTGATTAGTGTTAGACTGATAACAAAAATTACAGTTTCCCATGATTAATGTTTTCCATAGTACTCGAATGCACAGTTCATGGATTGTACCTAAACAAAGTGAATTTGCATCTGATTATGCCTTTTCTCTGTCAGGCTTTTCGCGGGCTTTAAAGTTTTAGGCCGTGCAGGTTATGCAGCAAAGTTGCTTCTAATGCAGTTTTCAAGTTGGGGATTGGAGAAGCCCACTGAATTTTAGTGTATTACTGGATGGAGAGATGCGTGTCCCCAGTGACATGTGAACAAATTTGGGGAAATTTCAATTAAAGATAGCAGCCAGCATGCCTTCTAGTCCTCTCAGATATGACATGCAAGGAAGTACTGGTGTTATATCCCTGCTACTTTAGGTAAAATCTGGCAATTTAAGTTAAATGATCAGTCAGAACCGAGTTTTCTTTCTCTTGACACTGTTTCTCAGTTCTTTAAACCTGTTGCTGTTAATTTGTTTATAGACTGCTGAGTAAAAACTGTGGAAACACACTGAATTTACTTCCCCTGTTTTATGATGTGAAAGTTGATCAGCTTGTGCATTATGGCACAAGGTTGTAGACTAAGATAATCTATGACAGATTTTAGCTTGGTGAAATCTTTTTTTAATAGCTAGAGGAGAAATGGAACCTGACTGTGCAAAATATGTTGTTGTCCAGCTTGTAGCACAATAGGAGTGGAGGTTATTTGTGAATTTAATAATTTGTCCCTAATAGATGGAAAGGGGATGACAACACCAGCAAAATATCTAAATCAAAACACAAGCAAACTTCTCTTCAGTCTTTAGCCCTCTTTTCTTGTGCAGTACAAAGCCTGATGATTTTTTTTCCTTCTAAAGGCCATTGGGAAGGTCTTCTGAAAGTTGTAGTTTAACACCGATGTTCTGCTTTCAAGTCTGGTGGCTTTGGGAGTCTGTGATTAGTGGTGGAACATTTTTTCCCTCTCCTTGGTTAGAACTCTTATTTTGGCTCGGTGTGCATCTGTCTTGGCCAGGCCAGGTACGGCCTGAATTGCTGCTTGCTTTTAGATGAGGAAGAATAATTGCAGGGGGAAACAAAAAGTAATCCTGGGTGCAGGATCCTCCAGGATAGCCTGGATGTTGGCAGCTCTCGAGGAAGGGATAATTGTGCTGAAGAGACCTGAGTTGTGGCTCTTACCTGCCTTTGGCAGCAGGGTACTCTCAAACTTGATTATGATGAGTCTTTATTTTAAAATGAAGACTTATTAGGTGTTTTCTGGTAAGAATGAAATGGTAAATCAGCTCTGGCCTTCAGGACAGTAAATCTTTTTTTTCTCTTCTTCATTGGAAGTGCAGCTTTCTTAAATCAAAGTAACTTTTTAAACAAAGGGAAGAATCTTACTTCTGATTTGTACCATCCATTCATTATGTGTTAATGTGTATCAATGTGCATTAATACCAGTTAACATTCTGTATTAGAAATTAATTCATTCTAGCTTACAAATAATACTGACCCTCCAAAAAATACTATTTTTTTTAAAGGAAGTTGTTAGTTATTTTAAATTTTTAACTACATTCGATAAATCAAGATTGGTTTCTAGGTTTTTGGCTTCAGAGTATATGTATGATTTAAAGGAACTCAGCTGTGACACAAGATTAGAGTACTGCATTAAATTGGGAAAATTCTGCTTCAGGCAAAACCTGCAGTATCCTCTGGTGCTTGTAGCAATGAGGAGTTGATATGAATATCAACTGAAGTCAGGTGCACTAAGAGGAGTAAAGAACACAGCTGAAAATACTGAAAATGATGCTATTCCTTATCTGGGTTGCTGCAATGAAGTGGAAAAAAGTGATAGCCTGTGCTCAGGTTGGATTAAGGGGATACCCCTTATTATTTCCTACAATTGTAAAAGCACATGGGAAACATACAGTAAAGTGCTAATTATGTTGTTGTTGGGAATTAGAGGACTCTGAAGGTGGGCAAAGGAAATAAAGTGTAAAGCCTTCATCATTGCTGCCTTTTTAAGGTAGCTGGCATTTGCTGTTTTAAAGCTCTGATAGTACAGGCTGTGTCTGGTGGCACAGATTCTCGTAGCTTACGTGTAATTTAGAAGAAAAAATCATTTTCAGGTGTGGAAAAAGCTTAGAAAAAATGTAGAGATTTGCTGGTGAATATACAGTAGTAGCTGGATGAAATGAGATGTAGGAAACCACTTAGGTGAACGAATTGCCCTGGTTAGTTGGTAGGAACTGCCTTTTTTTTTTTTTTTCAGCTACTTGTAGATACTCAGTTTCAGACTGCAAGACAGACCAAATGCACATTTAAAAAAAATCCTGTTTTGTTGCTCTTAACCACAGCAGTGTGTGCAGTCCAATGGAAGGAATGGTTGGGATGTACCAAATTAGCTAAGAAATGAGTGTTGCCAGTTATTTTTAGTGCTGTTGTGCAGAAGCTCAGTGAACCACTGTAGTTTACAGATCTGAATATTCCTACTCGAGTCAGTATTAACTTGCCAGTTTCATCAGCTTCCCCTCCTGTTTGCCTGCTCTGGTTTTGAGCTCTGAAACAGTTTGTGATACCATTTAACATGCCACAGACTATTTGGGTGCTGCTAAATGAGTGAGATCATCCAAAGGAGAAGAGGTAAGGTTGTAATTCGCTCATTAAATCAAAATCTGGATGTTGTTTTAAGATTTTTTGGTCTTATTTCGTAGCTTCTCACTTTCTCAGACTTCACCAACTGTGTGTGTTCCAATGGATAAAAGGGGCTTTAAAGAAGCCCTTAGGATAGAGTATGGCTTTAGAGATAAAATGTTAAGCAAAGGCCTAATCTTAGATAAAGATTAAATACATAATTAGGGAAATGGTTTTGACATAGAGCAGTCTCAGTAGGGCTATCAAGATGTCTGCAAAATATTTTCAGTGTGAAGGGAAATGAAAAGCAATCTTTACATTTACCAAAAAAAAAAAAAAGGAAAAAAACCCAACAAAAATATCTCTGCAGATGAAAGCCTCGGATGATGATGATGAGGAGGAAGAGGACGAGGAGGATGAAGATGACTTTGTGGAGGTCCCTGAGAAGGAAGGTTATGAGCCCCACATTCCAGACCACCTGCGTAAGGAATATGGTGAGTTTGCCCAGCTGTGACAAGCTTTATCCCTGCATGTTGCTGCTGCCCTAAAGTAAATAAACAGCCATTCCAAAGTAATAAAGTGATCAGTGGGGTGGGTAATCTCTGCCTGCTCTGAGGAAGTCATTACATGGACACAGGAACAGCGATTGGCTCCAGATAAACAAATACTTTCTAGGAGCAGGAGCGACTGAGACCAGAAGCTTATTTCATTCCATCCATGGAGTTAAGAGCCAGAGGCAGCTCCCTGTGTGCTTCTAAGTGTGCAAAACACATACTGAGAGTGAAGGGACTGCAAAGGAAAGCTGTAAATGAGCTGGAATATTGGAAATGCTGGTCTGGTGAGATGGGAGAAGGTTCTGTTCCACCACCTGCATTAGTAGCAGGTAGAGGTGCACAGCCACTTCCTCCCTTAGAGTGGCCAACTTAGAGCTCTGCAGGGTGGCTCTTTTTGTTTGTGTGTTCCAAGCAGGTAATTTTTAAATAGAGGTACACTTACAATGTGTTTTTGTGAAATTGAGAGGGGGGGTTGCTGAGAAAAGTTCAGCTTAAATAATTCAGTTTTGGTGCATTACTCCTTGTCCTTTGTACATCTCAGTGTCTGCAGCTTTGCCTCTGGGCAGCATTGTGTACTTTAAGACTCATAAGATATCAGTACATTGTAGAGAAGGAAAGGGTAGCTGCCACCACATAGAAGTTACAAATCTTGGCCACTGTAAGAAGTGTCTCTCTTCTTTGCCCCTCTGTGAGTATTTGTGTAAGATTTGTGCTGTGCTGTGCCTTTTTCAGTCCTATTGATGCTTATGTTTCATTTATCTGCAGTTTCCATCTTGCAAGTCAGGCTGCAGCTGTTACCTGTACAAGCCAAACGTTTCTATTGGCTGAAAAAAGGGTTGTGCCTGTGTAAACCCAAGATTGTGTAGCTCAAGTGATCTTTTTACTGTCCTCTGCCATCAAAGTTGGCTGCAGACAGTGAAAGGTGATCAGTAACAATCACCTGTAGTTACTGGGGTCAGCTCAAGGGTGTCTCCAGGTGGGAAGTCCTGCTTGTGCCTCAGCCTATCTACCCCACTTAACCTACCAGGATACCCTGGGAAGTAAGGCCTGCCTTGATTATCGGTGTTTCCCACCTAAGGGGACTTGCAGCAAGTCCAGCTGGCTGGTTCCAGTTTGTTTGAAGGGGACAGGTGACTCTCTTCCTCCATGCCTTTAAAACAGTTGGAAATTTTCAACTATAGATTCTAAGAGGCCTGGGAATCCCACTGGTACCTTGAGCAGGGAGGTGCAGTGAGGTTTGGTGTGGCTCTTGGAATAGGTGGTGCTTAAAACAGCCTGCAGGCACTTACTTTGTCCAGCCAAGAACTGGGGAAGATGAAGTGGAATTGGGAGTACTGAGATCATGAAATGGGAAGTAGATGTGTGTGAACACAGAACAGTGGCGGAGGCCTGGAGGTCACAAACTCAGGACGTGGACAGCCTTTTACTGTTTTGTTCATGGAAAACAATGTTATATTTTGATAAAATTATACCAGTGTGTGTTGGTTATCCCAACTATATCAGTCTTGCAATAAATACTGAGTAAATTCTGAGTACTGCTAACAGTGGGACTTTGAGAAAAGGAATATAATGGAAAAGAAAGGCGGCCTTCCAGACAAGTTGTGAAAAGCTTCTTATATATGTGTGACTGATGGAAGAGTCCGAAGCATCAGCAGTGATAGTAAACGAATGAACAAATGAGGTTGGTTATTTACATAGCTGTGGTTTTTCTGTTTTTTATTTTTTACCCTTCCTTTGGCACTATTCCTTGTGCCAAAACTGGTATTTTTTTAGTACTTCCAGGCACTGGAACTCGTTTTCCATATCTTTAGCAGCAGCCTAAAGAATTCTAACCTGCAAACGTTCTGTTTGTACTTGTCAGCTTCCACTGGAAGTGAAATGTATTCACCTCTTTCTTTTTATCCTATCTTTCTTGTGGACACACTTTTTTAAAAACAAAGTGTTTTACCACCCTTTTTATCACCCTAACACGATATTTGGCTGCTATTTGAATTCTTCCTCATGGAAAAGGATGAAAGAACAAGACTGCTGTCTACTCAAGGCTATTTGAGTGTATATATATAAAAATCTATATAAAATGGATTAAGAAATTCCCAATTTGTATTTAAACAATTGCTGATAGGAAAATACATGACAGTGTAGCAGCCAATCAGTCGGGAAACAAAAATCTCTCACTTTATATACATGTAGTTATGTAGGAGCTAATGGTCACACTTGGCTGTTCTTTACCTGGTGTGTTTGTTAAAAATAACATTTTGAAAGGATTAATCATTCCTGATTGTTTCTGAAGTCATTCAGCTTTACTCACTGCTATTAAAGTTATTACATAAGCTCCCAGTTCAGGAAAGAGTCTTAAAATAACTCAGAATTCCTGAAAAGAATTCAGGCAATCTTTTAAGCACATGCTTTCTTCTGTCTTTGTGTACTTCAGTGCTTTCTTGGACAAACTGGTGAGTTACCAGTTCAAAAATCTATCTCACAAACCAATATATAACTATTGCATAAACCAATTGACTTCTGTGATTGCTTCAGGTCTGCATGAGGCAAATTTGCTCTGTTGGGTTCTCTTCTGCATTGTTTTTAATACGTAAAACCAAAATAAGCATCCCTTTGACACACTTGGCTTAGGAAAGTGAATTATCATGTCAAAATACGCAATAATATATTGATTTCATAGCAGCATGTTCCCATCAAGAGCTGGCTGTGTTAGGCAGCCACCTCTCTAATTAAATGTGCCTTTCTGTTCCATGAGCAAATGCAGCGATCACAGCAGTGACTTTGCCTTTATCTAAATCTGATTCAAGTGGGGCTTTGCTACATTTCTCCAGTTCACAGCTCGTTCATGAGGACTCTGAGCTTAGAAAATGAGAGTCAGTACAAGTGGAATGTTCCAACTGGAACATTAAAGCCTTCCATGTAAAATAAAATCCCAGTGTTATGTGGAAGATGTGAACAGCTGAAAGCTTTTTTCCTTTTGTTGCTACATTTCCTGAGTAAACCAGATCAAGTTTTTATATTAAACAGGAAAACAAAGTTGTAAAACATGACTGTGGAAATGGATTGAAATGTGACATGTAAATTACCAATTTTAAAGTCACTTTATTCCCTGTCACTTCTCTTAGGAAAATAGAAGTATCCTACTAATTAGGTAAATTTTGAGCTGAGATGCTATTTCTGATGATGGATTTGTGTTTTTGTGGTTCTCCTGAGATCTGAGAAGCTTGTAAAAAATTAAAAGATATTTAGAGACTAGGGAAATTTTATCCACAACTGTGTAGACATGCGCATTTGTATTATCTGTTTGTATATGTGGTTGATGATGATGATCTCAAAATTGGTAAGGATATGTGAATGAACTGAGCATGGGTACAGTTTGGGTGGAGGGAGAATTAAGCAGGTCAATTTGAATCTCCGTGTATAAAATGAAATGTAAATTTGTTAAAAGAATTTAGGTGATTAGATAACTGGAGTGTGAAGATATAACCCATTAGGGGTGTCATGCCAAATTAGCATTACCAGACTTTTAACGACCTCCCATTTGTATAATCCTTATTTACACTTGCACCTGATGTCTGCAGCAGACAAGAGGCCAGCCCTCCTGTGGGACCACAGGGACACTTTAAGTACCTTGTGTTGCTAAAGAGGAATATTGGGCTGAGAAAGAAACAACACTGAAAATAATTTTCTGAAGGTTGGTCTTGTTCTCAGTGCTGACGTTGCTGATTTCCGTTGCCCTCGTATGTCTGGTATTGCTAAGCCCTGGAAAATCAAGGACATGTAAAGGAAAGCTTTAGGGATCTCCTCTGGAGATTTTCCACATGCCAGCCTTTGTTGGTCAGATGGAAGTTGCATGGGCATAAAGCCTTGAAGGTGGATGAGGTAAGGATGGAACTGTGCAGCTCCTGATGTCATTCTTGTGCCATTGACAGAAGTTGGTGCTGATGCCAGGATATGAGATTGCTTCCTGCACCCACCTCACTTGATAGTTCCCGTTTGTGTCCCGGTAAAAGCATTCATGAACTTCCTTATGCAATAATGCCTTGAGGACAGGGAAGTGCTATTGCTCTTTTACAAGTGGTGACATGAGAAAGGCATCTGAATTGGGAATGTTAGCATGGAAGTAGTCTGTTGGTTATCAAGTTTCATCCTTATCCAGAATTCTGTGAGGAATGACTGTACAGTCAAGAACACAAACCATTATTCCAAATGTGGTTAAACAGACTGCTTCTCTTGTACTTGAGCCTTAAGCCAGAGTGTTTGTAGGTCCCTGAGAGCTACTTCAGTGGTTCATGTTGCATCTTAAAGACTTCTTGAGACTTCTTTCATACTGGGATCAAAGCTGCAGTTCTAAAATCTAAGGGTTAGTTCTATCCATCTCAGAAATTCTTCCTCATCACAGAGTGATGTGCTTTTGTGGGTTAAATGTCCCCACACTGCCCTTCCTAATCTGATGGTGTTTGAGTCACACTTTTCTCTGTGTTTGTTTTTTTCGTTGTTGATGTTGTTGTTACTATGAAAAGTCATAGCAACATGAGAAAGAAGACTTATACCCCAGCTGGACTAATAAGGTGTACAAAAGCTCTTTCCTCAGTAGAGAAGTTATCACCTGGTTCTTTCCGTAGAATTGGGAATGCTTCAGACCATGGAAGATATTCTATTGCAGCTCTCACTGAGCATTTTAGACATATAAATAAACTTGCTATGGCGACCCTTCATTAAAAGTGTGGGGTTTTATAGCTTTGGCATCTTAGAACATGAAAAAACCTGTGTTAGAAATGACAACATAATACTGTGTAGACTAATGTATGATTGATTTTTTTTTTTATTTGAAGCAGTAAAAGTCATGCATTTTGGGGCATTTATTCAGAAAATGTACTTGTTTGTATAGACTAGGTATACTCTGATCTGTACCTAAACAGCAGATTTGCATGCATATTGTT